ACACCTTTGGCTCCGCCCTGGTGATTCCCAGAGAACCTGCCCCTGCTTACTTGCAAGCTCATCCAAGCCATTTCCAATGGCTTTTCTATGCAAGTAGCCTCTTGAGCCTTATGTTTAGGACTTTCCTAAAATCTCAAACAAGCAGCAGCTTGCCCCATAAGGCTTAAGTGGCCCCAGGCTTGGCACAAGTGGCACCCTGCATTGGTTCATAGCTTGGCCTCTTCTGGACATCTCCAAGCCGAGCACAAATAGCAACCAACTACGTTTTTCTGTTTAGCCATTGCTGGGTGGCCCTGGGAAAAACACTGGCAGAGACTGACTTTGCACCTCCCTGGAGACCCCAGAAACAGTGCACCTGGTGGTCAGACTCGATCACGCTGGATTACAACCCTACCACATCCACCAGTGACACACTCAAAGGGTGCACTTGGTGAACAGCAAAGCTCCACTGAAGTAAATCCTCCTCCATAGGGGTGTCTCCAGCATAACAGCTCTTTGACTATAGTTGCAGCTGCTCCTGACAGCTGATTGACCTGGGGGTCAATTCTTCCCAGTGATGCCAACAGCAACCAAGGCTCAACTACAGCAGGACAGTGCACACAGGCCACACAGAGAAGCACCTAGAAGGCCTAACTCAAGTGACTGGGGAGGCTAAGCCACTGAACCCTACAGGACACTTACTACACAAAGCCACTCTACAAATTCCAGGTAACAGCTCTACCTAATACATAGAAACAAACGCCAGGAAGCAGCCAAAATGTTGAGGCAAAGAAACGTGTCACAAAGGAAAGAATAGAAGAAATCTCCAGAAAAGGAACTAAATGAAATAGATCCAAGCAAGCTAACAGATACAGAGGTCAGAATTTTTGTTTTAAGGATGCTCAAACATATTAGTAAGACTATTATGAAAACAAGCAAGACTATCGATGACTTAATCAAATACCAATCAGAAATGAAGGATATATGAACTGAAATGAAGAATAATTTACAGGGAATAAACAGTAGAGTAAAGGACGCTGAGAATCAAATCAGCAATTTGGAATATGAGGAAACAGAAATAACCCAACAAGAAGAGCAAAAAGAAAAAAGAATCCAGAAATATGAAGGTAGTGTAAAGAGTCTCTGGGACAACTTCAAGCAGCTCAGCATTCATATTATTGGCATATCAGAAAGAGAAGAAAAAGAGCAAAAAATTGAAAACCTACTTGAAAAATTAATGACAGAAAACTTCCCCTACATGGGGAAAGAAATAGACTTACAAGTCCAGGAAGCACAGGGAGTTCCAAACAAAAGGAACCCAAAGAGGCCCACATCAAGACACATCATAATTAAAATGCCAAAGTTTAAAGACAAAGAGAATTTAAAAAGCAGCAAGAGAAAAGCAGTTAGTTACCTACAAGGGAGCACTCATAGGCTGTCAGCTGATTTCTCAACAGAAACCTTGCAGGCTAGAAGGGAGTGGCAAGAAATATTCAAAGCGATAAAAAGCAAGAACCTATAACCAAGATTACCCTACCCAGCAAAGCTATCATTTAGAATTGAAGGTCAGATAAAGAGGTTCTCAGACAAGAAAAAGCTAAAGGAGTTCATCACCACCAGACCATTACTACGTGAAATGCTGAAGCATCTTAAAGAAGAAACTAATGAACAAAAGAATCTGACAAACTAAGTGGATCCAGAGACATTCACACATGTAACAGACAATCATATTTCAGATGAAAGAGGGAAGGGGGGTGGAGTGTTGGAGGAGATTGACCAAAGAAGTTACATGCATATGTGCATATCCCATGGACACAGATAATGATGTGGTGAAGGCCTGAGGAGGAGGTGGGAGAGAGATGGAGGGGGTCAGTTGGGGGGGAAATTTGACACCTGTAGTGCTTTCAACAAAAAAGATAAATTTAAAAAAAAAATCACTGCTGCAAATCCTAAAAAACAAAAAAAATTGATTCAATGACTTGGAAGCATGGAACAGATTCACAAATTTCAGAGGGAAGGTGGGGGTGGGTGGGGAGAGATTAAGTAAAGAATTTATATGAATATATGCATAACCCATGGACAGAAACAATAGTGTGGTGAAGGCCTGGGGTGGTAGGTGAAGGTGGGGTAGGAGTCAATGGGGGAAAATGGGGACATCTGTAATACTTTCAACAATAAATTTTTTAAAATGATAAATTAAAAAAAATACAAAAGATAAATTTTAAAAAAAGACAAAAACAATATTCAAAAAATTTAAAAAAAGAGCCAATACCCAAAGGATAAGAAAATATTTATTTATAAAATCACAAAGGTAGAAGAATTTATTCATAGAAAAAATGGGCTTATTCAACAAGTTATTGAGGTAATGGAAGTGCTCTTGGAGCTTGGTAGTGAGGAAGCTAATGGTAATAATAAGGTGCTTGGGGGAGGGGAAGGGAAGAAGGGGAAAGAAAAGCACTGGCTCTAGGGAGGTCCCAGGGGAAGATCTCAATAGTATCTTTGGCAGTTTTCCAGGTATACCCTTTCAGGGTTGTGATCTCCTCCACTGGTTGGTCAGTGCCAGGATGGGAATCATTATCCAGTGCAACAAGTTCTGAGGTCAGCTGGGGCTGGTTTTGTTGTTTTTGTGGGCCTGGAGCTAAAATACAACTAGATGTTATCTCTAGGGAGGAAAGGTCAGGGGATCCAAACCCAATGACCATCGATATGCTAGGGGAGGAAAGAAAGGCCACCTTTGGGTAAGGTCACACCCTATAATTTCCCTTGCTGGGCACCTGGGGTTTTCCATCCTGAGGACCTGTCCTTGCTGATCATGTCTGTGTAACTGCCTACCACATTTTCCTTTTGATCCTGGGAGGAGGTGCAAGAAAGTTCTGCCTATTTGGCTGCCATCTTCTCTTCACCTGTCTGTAGTTGAGTCTTGATTGCTGTTGACTCTGCAGACTTTTTTTTTTAAAAAATATATCTTTATTGATTTCAGAGGGAGGAAAGGAGAGGGAGAGAGAGAGATAGAAACATCAATGATGAGAGAGTCATTGATCAAGCCTGCAACCCGGGCACATGCCCTGACCGGGAATCGAACCCCGATCACCTGGATCCTAGGTCGACACTCAACCGCTGAGCCACGCCTGGCTGGGCTTTCTTAAATAAAGACAAGAATGCGTGGCTGCTCTGTCTCTGCTTTTACAACCTGAGATTGATCTTATTGACTATTTAATGTTGAAGCCTTGATTAGAAATGTGGTTTCTAATTATAATATTGTCCCAAAGAAGATACTGGAGCTTCTCTTTTGCCATCATTAATATTGATTCATTTGTATCCATTCAGCCATCATTTATTAAAAGGCTTAAATATGCCATGTGTTATGCTGAACAAGATTACTGGTTTATTACAATACTGTGTAACTCAGGAAGAGCCAAATGAAAGAGATTCAGAGGGCAAGGTATGTAGGAAGGGACATAGAACTTCCATGCCTTCTCCAAGTGCACTATTCTTCCTGCACCTCCACCTGTTCACAAACTAGAAGACCGTCACTTACTCTTTATTAGTATGGTCTCCAAACTACTCTGCTCACTTTCTGACTCCATTTGAAAGAGATATTATTAACCCAATTCAAGGTCTACTGAAACTGATTCAATCATGTAACATGTATGTGCAAACATCATGACTTTCCAGTTTGAACCATCAAGGTTTCTTGTTTCTACTTCTATTTTTATTGTATAAAGGATGTACGTGCTTCTTTTCATCATTTTTAAATTGGATTCTTTAACTGGAAAAAAGTAATTGCTGTCAATCTTCAGGTAGATATATAAGGAAAAAAAGACTTCATGTTGTCAGATTTTTAACACAGACAAAATGGAACAGGTTTTTGTCAAATGATCATTAAAAGAATTTTTAAAGACTCAACAAAAGTAGACTTGAAAATGAAGAGAAAGAGAAAGCATAACTAAAGAAGAACACAAGGAAATAATACCTAGAATGTAGTTAAATCCTCTGGCTTTTTTTTTTTAACCTCATTTTTTTTCTGGTTTTTAAGTGTTTATCATTGTGTACAGAAACTATCTTAATTTAATAGTTTCTCATGATTGATAGTCATGCCTTGTAATTTAACCTTACTGTAGCACCTAGTACAAATGCACACCGATGCTGTTGGTGAGTAAAGACAGGTAGGCCTCACTTTATACAAAAGACAGTCTGAATTAAAGATCACAATTGCCAGCAAGGAATGATTGGGAAAGGTTCACACAGCACATGGAAAAAGCCCTTCAGGCTGGAATCTAGTCCTTACTTTATTGCTAACTCCCTCTATGATCTTGAGCAATTAATTTCATACTACTCTAGTGCATTTTTCACATCGTTAAAATGACAGATAAATGAGATAATCACTAAATTCCCTTTCAGTTCAGATAGTCTATGACATATTAGTTCAAATGTAATAATAACTAATATTCAGTAAGCACTTACCTTGTGCCAGATATTATGCTAAGCAGCATTTTTTATGTATTGACTCATTTAAATCTCAAGTAACCTTGTAAGGAAGGTACTGTTAGAGAAGTTAAGAATCTTTTGCAGGGCCACAAAATAGTGTAACTGGGCTTCTCACCCAGTTTTACTTCAGAGCTGGTCTGAAACCTCCACGCTACGTTACCTCTGAATATACAAGAGATGCTTGGTATTTAAAGATGTTCTACAGTGAATACTTTCTTAAAATGAATAATAATCTCCTAATTTATCAGCTTTTAAGTTCTTAAGTTTTTGGCGTTTCCATTTACTGTTTTATTTTAAATCAGGTTATACCTATATTTGTTGAATTAGTAGAAATTCTTAATTACTCAAGGTTTAAGGTGAAAGAAGATAGCAAAGAGTGAGATTTAATCCTTAGCTTCCTTTATCTCAGCAGGCCAGTGATTTCCTAAAATACCATTGACAAACTTGCTTAAAAATAATGCTATAGAGAAATGGATTAGAAAAATAATGTTTTTAAATATCACTAATTTTGACCTTTTCCTCTCTTTTCACAGTCACTGTTTTGAGCCCAGCAGAAAAAGGTAAGGGTGTTGTGAATTGTACTGGTAAGTACTGTATTCTTTTTTCTATCTAAAAGTGAATTAATTACCAAAAAAAGCTTATATTTTGAGCAACTTTCCCTGGAATACAATGAGGTGAGTGGAAAGTTAAGGATGCTGGTTTTCAGGAAGCTTACCAAGAGGTAAAACAGAACATATTTTCAGTGGCCTTTTGGGCTATAGAACAAAAAATTGAAAGTTACCAATTTTTATGATGGAGAAAAGCACATATTACCACTCTGTTGGCCATAGTAACCCAAGGCTCTCTTGTTTCATCACTGTTTTTCTAAGTACCTTGCCTGTTTACCCAATTCACCCCCTCTTCAAGGCATGGAGTAAAGGCTCCACAGAGGACTTCTAAGTCTTTCACCATCATGGTTCCTATATATTTACTGTACTCTTCTGTGTTTCTCACCGTCCATTTTGTCTTTTGTTTGTTTATTTTTGTTTAAAATATTGATGATGTCCCTTCTCCCCAAAGACCCATTCCACCCTGCCCGTCCCCCTACTCAGTCCCTCTCCCCACCATTGTTCATGTCCTTGGGTTGTGCATATATGCATATAAATACTTTGGTTAATCTCTCCCCCTCCACCTTCCCGCCCTTCTCCATCCCTATGACATTTGTCAGTCTGACCTATACTTCCATGTCATTGAATAAATTCTGTTCATCAGTTTATTAAGTTCTTTAGACTCCACATATAAGCGACATCATGTGATGTTTGCTTTTCTCTCCCTGGCTTATTTCACTTAGCATAATATTCTCCAGTTCCATCCATACTGTCCCAAAGGATACAAGATCATTCTTCTTTACAACTGCATAGTATTCCATGGTGTATATGTCCCACAGCTTTTTTATCCACCTATCTCCTGATGGGCAGTTGGGCTGTTTCCAGACCTTAGCTATTGTAAATTGTGCTGTGATAAACATAGGGGTGCATATATTCTTTCTGATTAGTGTTTCAGGATTCTTAGGATACATTCCTAGAAGTGGGATCACTGGGTCAAAAGGCAGCACCATTTTTAACTTCTTGAAGAACCTCCATACTGTTTTTGATAGTGGTTTCATCAGTCTGCACTCCTACCGTCAGTGACCTAGGGTTCCCATTTTTCTACATCCCTGCCAGCAAAAGTCGTTTGTTGATTTGTTGATGTTAACCATTCTGACAGGTGTGAAGTGATACCTCATTGTGGTTTTAATTTGCATCTCTCTGATGATTAGCGACATTGAGCATTTCCTCATATGTCTCTTGGCCATCTGTATATACTCTTTGGAGAAGTGTCCATTTAGAGCCTTTTCCCATATTTTAATTGGGTTGTTTGTCTTCCTCTTACTGAATAGTATGAGTTCTTTGTACATTTTGGAAATTAGCCCCTTATCAGATACATCCTTGGCAAATATGTTTTCCCAGACCTTGGGGCTCCTTTGTATTTTGAGGCTGTTTTCTTTTGCTGTGCAGAAGCTTTTTAGTTTGATGTAGTCCCATATGTTTACTTTTTCTTTTGTTTCTCTTGTCCTAAGAGATGTATCAGTTTAAATTCCACTACTTGGGATGTCTGTGACTTTACTGCCTGTTTTCTTCCAGGATTTTTATGGTTTCGTGACTTACATTTAAGTCTTTTGTCCATTTTGAGTTTATTTTTGTGTATGGTGAAAGCTGGTGGTCCAGTTTCATTTTTTTGCATGTAGCTGTCCAATTTTCCCAGCAACACTAATTGAAGAGACTGTCTTTACTCCATTGTATACTCTTGCCTCCTTTGTGAAATACTGACAATAATGGCTTGGGTTTATTTCTGGGGTCCCTATTCTGTTCCATTGATCTATATGTCTGTTGTACCAGTGTCTTCAGAAATGCTTGCTGGATTTTGTCAAATGATTTTCCTGCATCTATTGATATGATCATATGATTTGTATAATCTTTTTAATGTATTGCTGGATCCGATTTGCTAGTGTTTTAGTGAGGATTTTAGCATCTATGTTCATCAGAGATATTGGCCTGTAGTTTTGTTTCTTTTTAGTATTTTTATCTGGTTTTGAGATTAGGATGATGCTGGCCTCATGAAAAGAGTTTTGAAGTTTTCCATCCTATTGAATATTCTGGAATGATTTGAAAAGAATAGGTGTTAATTCTTTTTCGAATGTTTGGTAAAACTCCCCTGTAAATCCATCTGGTCCAGGAATTTTGTTTGCTGGGAGTTTTTCATTACTACTTCAATTTCATGAGTTGTTATCAGTCTATTCAGGTTTTCTTCCTCTTCCTGATTCACCTTTGAAAGACTGTATGCTTCTACGAATATATCCATTTCACCCATGTTGTTCAATTTATTGCCATCTAGTTGCTCATAGTGTTTTCTTACAATCCTTTGTATTTCTGTTGGGGCAGTTGTTATATTGCCTTTTTCATTTCTGATTTTATTTATTTGGGTTTTCTCTCTTTGTTTCTTCCTGAGTCTGGCTAAAGGTGCATCAATATTATTTATCTTTTCAAAGACCAGTTCTTGGTTTCATTGATTTTTTTCAGTTTTTTATAATATCTATGTCATTAATTTCTGCTCTGATATTATTTTCTTCCTTCTACTTCCTCAGAGCTTTTCTTGCTGTTCTAGTTCTAGTTGTTTTATTTTTGTGTTAGATGCTTCATTAGAGCTTTTTCTTATTTCTTGAGATAGGCCTATAATGCTATCAATTTTTCTCTCAGGACTGCTTTCACTGTGCCCCATAGATTTTTGCTTGTTGTCTCTTCATTTAAATTTTTTTTCATGAAGCCTTTGATTTCTTCCTTGATCTCATTGGTAAACCATTAATTGTTTGTAGCATGCTATTTAGCTTCCATGTGTTTGAATATTTTTGAGGTTTTTTATTTACTGGTTGATTTCTAGTTTCATGGCATTGTGATCTGAGATGATGCTTGATATGATTTGAATCTTTTTGTATTTGTAGAGACTTGCCTTGAGCCCTAACATGTGATCTCTTTTTGATAATTTTCCATGTGCACTTGAGAAGAATGTATATTCTGCTGCTTTGCGATGAAATGTTTTGTAAATGTCCATTAAATCTCTTAGGTCTATTGAGTCATTTAACGTGTGTGTTTCCCTGTTGATTTTTGTCTTGATGATCTGTCCAATGCTGACAGTGGGGTGTTAAAAACCCCTATTATGATTATGTTGCTGTCAATCTCCCTCTTAATGTCCACCAAGAAATTTATTATATATTTAGGTGCTCCTATATTGGATGCATAAATGTTTATACAGGTTATTTTTTCCTGTTAGATTGACCCCTTTAGAATTATATAGTGACCATCTTTGTCTCTTGTTGTGGTCTTCATTTTGAAGTGTATTTTGACAGAAATAACAATTGCTACTCCATCTTTCTGTTCTTTTCCATTTGCATGGAATATTTTACTCCATCCCTTCACTTTTAGCCTGTGTGAGTCTTTTGCCCTCAGGTGTGTCTCTTGTAGACAGCATATATTTGGGTGTTGTTTTTTATCCATTCAGCTACTCTATGTCTCTTGATTAGACCTTTTATCCCATTTACATTTAAGACTACTTTTGATATCAACTTATTTAATGCCCCTTTCCCCCGTTATGCTGATGTACCTTTCTCTCACTATTCCTTCTTTTTCTTAAAGCAGTCCTTTTAGCATTTCTTGCAATGCTGTTTTGGTGGTACTGAACTCCTTTAGCCTTTTTTAGTCTGGGAAGCTCTTTATTTCACCTTCAGTATTAAATGATAGCCTTTCTGGATAAAGCAACCTTGGTTGCATGTTTTTGCTTTTCATTACTTTAAGAATTTCATGCCACTCTCTTCTGGCCTGAAATGTTGCTGCTGAGAAATGAGCTGTCAGCCTTATGGGGGTTCCCTTGTAGGTCACAGCTCATGTGTCTCTTGCAGCCCTTAATATCTTCTCTTTGTCCTTCACATTTTCCATTTTAATTATGATGTGTGTTGGAGTGGGTCTCTTTGGTTCCCTCTTATTTGGAACCCCCCTGTGCTTCCTGAACTTATGCGGCTTTCTCCCCCTCCAGCATAAGGTAGTTTTCTGCCATTATTCCCTCCACCAAGGTCTCTATCCTTTGGTCTCTCTCCTCCCCATCTGGCACTCCTATAATGCGAATGTTGTTTCACCTCATGTTGTCCCAAAGCTCCCTTAGACTATCCTCATGCTTTTTTAAGTGTTTTTTCTATTTGCTGCTCTGATTGTGTGATTTTTTCTACCTTGTCTTCTAAGTCACTTATTCTATCCTCTGCTTCATTGAGCCTTCTTTTAATTCCTTCCAGTGTATTTTTGATATCAGATACAGCGTTTTCTATCTCTGTCTGATTTTTGTTTATGTTATGTATCTCTTTTTTCATGTTTTCACTAAGGTCCTCGATCTTATCATTTACTGTCTTCTTAAATTCCTTGAATGTTTTCATAATCAATACTCTGAACTTTATTTCTGATAGCTTGCTTAACTCCATCTCATCAAAGACTTCTTGTGGCGATTTTACCTTTTCTTTGATTTGAGGGTTCTTTGTCTCCCCATTTTGGTAGGTCTTAGTGTTTGTGTCTATATGTTAGATATATTTGCTGTCTCCCAGTCTTCTTGGGTGAGATTTTGTATTGTGAGGCCAGTGGTGCTCAAAGATGCTTTTTCCTCATACTTCTGAGCTCTTTCCTCTAGGCGTGTCCCTTTTGTGGGTGTCCATTTTGTGAATTCTTTGGGCCCTCCTGTTGTGGTTGGGTCTGGAGTGTTGTTGAGCAGTCCTTGGTAGGACTCTCCTCTTAGTTTGGCTAACTGTGTGTCTCAGCCCCACCCTTGTCATTAAAGCTGTTGTACAGGTGTTAGCAAGGCAGGACAATACCTGTCTAAATTTCCAGGAAACAAGGGGTATCTTACAAAATATGTTGACAGTCACAATGGAAACAACCCAAGCGCAAATAGAACTTGGAAAGTGAAGGGAGATCAACAATTCTAGAGAAAATAAAAAGCTTAAGAA